TCTTTCATGGCCCCCTGAATATTCCATTTACTCAATATTGGCAGTAGTTTTTGAGTCAGTTTGCAGGAAGGTAGGCATATACACTTTTGTCAATCCTTCATCGTCCTTACTGTTCTGTCTTAGTCCCCGTGCTATCATCGGCTTTTCACGGCCTGTATGTTTCTTTGTATCACTTCGCTTGGGTAGCCATTGCTGAGGAATATCCTCGTCAATTTGTCCAGCTTCTCGTCCCAGAATTCTACATCCCTTAGGCGTAGGCTACGAATGATCATGCTCCTTATTATTCCTATCTTTAGCCTGTAATTGTGATGGGACTAGAAATTGTTTATTACCCCAACATTGGACTCCTTTCTGAACAATTTATATTTGAGCGTCCTATTAGAACGAATCACTTCAATGTACAGGAACGTTGAGCGCTCACCTTCCTCTACTTCCATCGTAGATTAAATTTTTTCATCAGTCTGATTTACAAACTGCAGAAACTCTTCCAGTTTTTCTCTTTTAATGTAACCAAAGTGCGAAGTAATAATCCAGGTACCGCATGAGCAATGCCGGTTGTAGCGGTGCCATCTTGAAGTTATCTTCTTTTTTGTTCATATATGCGTTTGCTAAAAGTGGTAAGAGCGGCAATCCAATAGGAAGTCCAAATATTTGCTCATAGATGTTCCTGTTGAATGTAAAATAGGTTGTCCCTATTGTCAAGTTGATTAGTCTTGTTAATGACTCCCTCCTGATCCGTTGTGCTTACAGGATATCCTTAGGATTCCATTCATCCTCAAAGTTGGGTCCTTGTTTAGTAAATGATATGTGGTCCTGTCTGGTAGAATTTTTTGCATCTTCTCGGTATATTGTCTTTTGTCCATTATCACTGTAGCTTCTCCTTTGTCCGCTAAACGATTAATTTTTCATTCGTTTCCACGGTTTTGCGTATCACCGCAAATCTGTTCCTGTATGTAGGCTCCGGATGTGTCAAGATTTTTGGAATTTGTTCCATTTCCATTTCACGTTTTGTCTTCTTAGGCGATACTGATAACCTCCACCAGGTTGTCTCCTAGAAGGCTTCTGTGATGTTGAATTGAAAAATTGAGTAATTTTTCCATGAAGGCAGTTGTTATGGGATGGAGAGAAATTGATGACAAGTTTAATACTTTCTTCCTATCGCCGTGCTGATCATTAAGTGTTGTCACCTCGGAAGCCATTTCAACTGTGCGTACTGGCTTTAACTTAGGCTGTCTTATAATTCCAAACTTACGTAATTCATCATCATGCCGTTTTGTTATTAAGTCAAAAATCTTATGCTCTGCAGTCTTTGAAAATCTTCCGTAGACAGGATCCTGGCCAAATCTCTGCAAAAACTGCACTGACGTCACTGCTGGAAATCTTGGACCGAGAGGAGGATATCCTGGAATCACAACGAATCAGGAGTCGTCAACAAGACTAATCAACTTGGCAATAAAGACAGAGCTAGCGGAACACATGGCAAGGATTGGATACGAGATCAATTGGAAGGCAACAGAAAGGAAAGCTCCATACGGTGACAACACAAGGAAGCGGAAGATTAGCGAGGCCATTGACGTGCTTGGGCATACAGATCTAATGAACTGGAGATTGGAGGAATGTAGAGTTAGCGATAACTTTGCCAACTGCCTCAGCAAACTTGGGGAAGACAAGAATAGAGCATGGCAATCAGAGCTTAGACGCTCTGCTCAGTGAAGCGGCAGTTTATGTGCTTCTATGGCTTTGAGAAATAGCGCCCAAAGTGAAATGCACTCTGGAACTCAACCAGAAAGAGAAGGAACGGATCAACGAGATAATGAGTGGATCCGGATTGGAGGCCCGAGTGGGATAAGCCCATCGAAAGAGAGGGGTCGAAGTAGATATCAAGTGTGATGAGGCCACATCGGGTTTGCCACAAATAGGCACACATTTTGACGAGTG